CCAGCATGGCACAGCCCGCACTTTGCACGGGACGCCCACGAGCGTTCCCGTTTTACACCTTTAGACACTACTCCTAAAATTCAGGTATTAAAAGTGAAATTTTTCTTATTTTATATATTTTTATTTGACTTGACCATTTGACAAGTTATATGTCAGATCAGGTATTAACGTTCAAAGCATTTAAAATCTGGAACCTGAAAATCAATCTGCATCGATCAATGGTCGATACACACCAATACATTTCTGTATTTGGAAACTTATGGACAAGGCAACCCAAAGGGGATGTTGGATGCATTCACATTGCTCATTGTCTACAGAGGTAATAATATAGGTACGTTTGATTTAGTGGACCATGCCGATAGAAACTGCTTTTATGCTGCTGCAAATATAACCTTCTGGGCTAAGGATTTAAACTATGGAAGAATCTGAGGCAATTTTATTAAAGGGACAAAATGGGATCACCGACTGGAATCTAAATCAATTGTTGGGAAAAGGCCTTCAAATGATGAAGTTTATTCTGCGAAAATAGGCATTCCCACTTGAGTTATGTTGTGACTTAATCAATTACTTGGTTGTAATAAGCTAATAAAACCCAAACTGAAATATATTACACGACAAACGTCGAAAATAATTTGGCCCCTACCTGGTCGGAAGAATGCATGTGACAAAAATATCTTAATATATGAATTTTAAGGAAATTGTCTAAAACTCATCATGACTTTTCAGTATTTCTCTTAAACTCATCATAACTTTACAAAATATGAAGGAAACCCATGTTAATAAGTCGATCTTAAATAGACTAATGGATGTTGGTAGATTACTATTTTACCCTTTGTTCTATTGTAAATAGAAAACCTATATATATATATATATATATATATATAACAAAGCATTCAGGAAATTTTCTCCTTTTTTTTGAATTTTTTTTTTTTATTCCATGTCATTTTTTAAACAACCAACGAGATGTACTTTCCTAATAACCTAAATAATCTCTTCTCCTAAAATTTCTCCTATACTACCTCCACCACTATCGCCCACTTTCTCCAAAATTATCTCTAATTTGTATTTATCTTCTAAATTATCTCTAATTCCTATTTATCTTCTAAATTATCTAATTCCAATTTATCTCCAAAGTTATCTCTAATTTAGTAGGGAGTTTCTCTCCTAAATTATCTTTAATTCCTATTTATCCTCTCCCCTAATTTTTATCTATATCTATCTAAAGAAAGTTTGGATTCAAAAAATTAAGAATTATTTAAATATTCTAATAAAGTTACATAATAACTTCAAAATATTTATTAAAAACACAAAAGATAATAACTTTATAATTTTACAAAATATATCATGAAATTATGTACTAACAATTTAAATTATGTTTTTTCTAGATTATCAATTTAAATGTTTTTCAAATATATAATAATATGAAATATATTTAAATAAATAAAATTAAAATAACAAAAAAATAAATATTTTTTAGATTATTTAAATGTTTAAATAACTAAATATTTATCATAACTAGATTTTAAATAGTTAAAATAACAAAATTATGTAATAAATTTAAAAAAATTCTTCAAAATAGAAAAATGATTATAACATAATATTCAAATTAATAATAACTTAATATATTATAAAATTATGTAATTTATATATATATATATATATATATATATATATATATATATTAAAACAAGGATCTAGAAATTTTCTCCTTTTTTGAATTTTTTATTTTTTTATTCCATGTCATTTTTTAAACAACCAATGAGATGCACTTTCCCAATAACCTAAATAATCTCTTCTCCTAAAATTACTCCTAAACTACCTCCCACACTATCCCCTACTTTCTCCAAAATTATCTTTAATTCTTATTTATCTTCTAAATTATCCTTGATTCATATTTATCTCCAAAATTATCTATTCTTATTTATCCTTTCCCCTACTTTTTATCTATCTATATAGATATATTAAAACAAGGAAGTCTAGAAAAACTAAATAATCTATTTCTCCTAAACAACCCCCCTATCCCTAACTTTCTCCTAAGTTATCTCTAATTTAGTACAGAGTCCCTCCTAAATTATCTCTAATAATTCTTACTTATCTTCTCCCCTACTTTTTATTTGCATCTATCTAAAGAAAGTTTGAATTAAAAAAAATAAGAATTATTTAAATATTCTAACAAAATTTATAATAAGTTTAAAATATTTATTTAAAATTCAAAAAAAAATTAGAATCAATTTGATAATATTCATATTATTAATAATTATATATTTTTACAACATTCCTTACAAAATTATGTACAAACAAAATAAATTATGATTTTCTAGATTATTCAATCTAAATGTTATTCAAATAAAAAAAACTTAACATTAAAAATGAAATATTATTTAAATATTTCAATAACTAAATATCTTGAATAACAAAATACTAAAATTAATATTTAAAATCATTAAATAATATCTTTTAAATAGTTACTAAATAACTTTCAACTATAGTAAATAGATTAAGATTTTAAATATTTAGTTAAATAATGAAACATTTAACTTAACTAGATTTTAAATAGTTAAAATAAAAAAATATATATGTATTAATAATACTATAATTTTATGGATTATTAAATTCAACAAGTAATTAATAATTTAAATTTTAAATAATGATTTTATTTTTATAAATAAATAATATTGTAAATAACTAATTTATTTATACCAATTAATAGTTCTAGAAAATAACTATTGAAAAAATTAATGTTTATTGATAATAATTTTAAAAACTTAAGCTACATTTATATATACTAAAATTAATATTCATTGTGTTTTAATAATTATTTATTGTTTTTTGTGATAAATATATTTTCAATATGTATATATAAATCTATTTTTACTTTGTTATTTAATAGAAAATTTTAATAATTATTATTGTTTAGCTTTTTAAATTTAATTTATTGTGTTTTTCTTCAATAAATTTTTAATAATTATTGGATATTAAACTATAGTTCACGGGTTGTTCGGTTCAATTGTAGGTTGTTTGGCCAACCAAATCGACCTGGTCAGGTTGGGGAGTTGGTCACTCAGGTTATATCGATTTGGGTCAATTTTCAGTTTGATCGGTTGGTTCAAAAGATTTAAACTTAAAAAATTAAGTTTAGAGTTTAAAAAAGTTACAATGACATTATTAAAAATATATTTTAGCCTAATAAATATTTTAATTTTCCCACTTTCTCGTATTAAAAAATATATTTAAAATATAAAATATTAATATATATCTTTGGTCGAGTCATTCGATTTTAGTTAGTTTACACATGGAGAAAATGAAACAGATCCAACCGAATTGGGTTGGGAAATTGTTGAACCAAAGCCAATTGGAAATATTAGAAATCAGGTCTGTTAATTCCATTAGTTTGATTAAGAATGGCAACAGGGTAGGGCGGGGACGAGGAGCCTCCCCCTATCCCCATGCCCGTGAGAATCCCCATCCCCATCCCTGCTAGCGGGGACAAAGTTATCCCCATTCCCGTCTCCACAGGGATCCCCACACACCGCGATTCTTTATAATGTCAACAATTATGTTTTTGTCTTATATTTTATTTAAAAAATAAAAATAAAATATTTAAAATTTACAATTCTATTAGAAAAGATTCAAACATACTCAACCATATTTTTAAAAATATTAACGTATAGACGTATGTGTACATATATATACATATATAAATGTATGCATATATATACACGTATATTAGCAGGGATCCTATGGGCAGGGATCGAAGTCCTCGCAAGGCAGGGAGTGCTCTCCGTCCCTGCCAACGGGGATGAAAATTTCCCCATCCCTACCCCATTCAGGGCAGATACCCAATGGGGATTGGGGAAATAGGAAAAATTGCCATCCCTATGTTTGACAAACAACATTATCTAAAATCATTTATTGATATTTTTGTATTGTAAAAAATTATTAAAAGTAGCATATAAAATATAAATGATTATTAATTATTATATAAAACAATTTTATATTATTACATATTTCTATTGTTTATTTTAACTAATCAAATCCTATGCATCACACGGGTCCCCTTTGTTAAAAAACAACAAAAATATTTCAATCTTAAAAAAATTCTACCCATTTTACTATATTTAAATAAAAAAGGGAGCTTCAAATAAAGAAAAAGAACGCTTTTGATTCAAACCAAACTCATGTCCATATCTAATTGCATAGCACAACTTTCACTTTACCCCTTTTTATTTCAAATGCAACAAGAACTGAAATCAAGAAAAGATTTATGGTCAAGAAGAGGACACGTGACACTGTACGACCCAACATCCACTTCTATCAGATGTCAGTTAGAACTAAGGTGTACTAAACAAAAATTAGACTGACAAAATATGTTTAATAAGTCTGGCATGTCATTTAGGTCATAAAAATTGGACTCACGCTAACATATACAACTTCTATCAATGAACACTAACAGATGGTTGTTTTGTAAAACAAAAAGTCATGGAATTCCGTGGACGTTTTGAAAAATTATGGTGGGGATATTGGTGGGTTTAAGAGAAATGCTGGGGTCTAGGTATGAAAAATACTTTTTTCTTTTTTTAAGAGGTGGTCGGACACATTAATCCGACCATAGAAGGAGCGAAATAAAGCCTGTCAAATGCCGCAATTATGATGACATCATATCTTTTCAGGAAAATCAGTTTTATCTTGACAATAAGGCTCATTTGAAAAATACTTGAGAGGTGAAGTTATGCAAAAAGGAGAGTTGTTGCTGCATTCTAGACAACATGAATTGTTCTCTCTTTTTTTTTATCAGTAAACATGAATTGTTCTCATTTCACAGTTCACACATTACCCTACCTACTAGCCTCCTAGCCATTAGAAGAAAATTCATGTTGGGAGTCTTGGGACTAAATGAATCCAAGTTTTAGATGCAGACGAAAAAAAAAACAGATCCAACTTAGTCTTTCTAGAGCAATTATCCACAAACTAATTCAGTATTACTATTCTGACAGAAAAGCAAAACGTTTAAAATATGGAACATTTAATTAAAACTATTAATGAATATTTTACACAACATGCTTTCGGCCCCCGGAGACAATAAAGAAGAAAGAAAGGGAAAAATTAAGGGACCCTTGCACCTAGTTGGATTCCCTTATTTTCTGTGAACTACCATCGTCAATAATAGTGATCAGGTACCAAATATATGTCTGTGAACAGGGGCTATGTCAAAAGACCTAACTACTTCCATCCATGGTTTTTCAATGACCAAGATGGAATTTTCAGATAAATGTGAAATAAACAAAACAGGGTCCCTGAAAGCAACAAAATCAAAATTCCTTCTAGCATTAAGTTTAAGATCTACAGCAGATTTCTCCCGTTTCCGCTTTGCTTTTACTTTACTGGGAGAATCTACTAACTTCTGTGAAAAATCCAAGCCATTGCTCAAGCCAATATCACCATCTAAATCTACTGGCATCCCAAAGTCGATCAAGCACATTGCCCTACAAGTAAAAATCAAAGTCAGCAAAAACAATACTCAGTAAAAATACTTTGGAAACTTTAACTCTATCGAGACCTACAAGAAAATAACACTTCCAGGCTTGAAATACTAATGTTGTTATAAAGTATGGTACAGAAGATAACACCATTTTTTATGGGAAACGGTACCTTTCTTTAAAAATAATAAATAAAGATTACAACTGCCACCATCCAAAGGCAGAATGGAGAACTCTTTGACAAACACTGTCTCATAAACAGGCCCAAAACAACTCTTGCATATTGACTCCTTGCTTTGCTAAAGCATCAGCCATACCATTTACTGATCTTCATGCCCAATTAAACCTCACCCCAGCGTCTTGACCAATTAAACCTCACAACACCATTATCAATGTCCAAAACCCATTGTGCATGTATAGCATGTAAAAGTTGTCCATTTTTTTCTTAGCTTTCATATCTTTTATTTTTACCCCCCTCCCCCCAATTATAGGCTGTTGTCCACTTTCTGGCGACTCAAGTTGGAATTGAACCAGCAATAATGCAATCTTACAGTTGACATGAATATTTCTATCAAGTCAGCATGCTGAACTTGATAGTCCTCTCTTCACACAAACTTCCCAGGGTCAAATAAGTGTTATCAGTTCTTTTGACAGCAATAACCTTCTCTATCCAGTTATGCAAAGATACATATGTCGGGGCAAAACCAGAAAATCAACTATGTGACTACAAACACAAAATATCTTGCATTCCCTATTGATTTTGAAGGCACAATTAGCGATTCTAGCTTATTTGCTTTCCTTGGGCTGCATTTGGCATTCCTTATTTTAAGGATGTATTTCCTTTTGCAGTTAAAATGCCCCTATGAACACTGAGTTTTTAACTGTAAAAAGGAGACAAGTCCTTAAAATAAGGAATGCCAAAATGCAGCCTTAGTCTATCAACTTAATAATATTAGAGAGCTGATCCCAAAAAAAAAAACTTAATTGTATTATTACAGATGCCAAAGCAAAACTAAGGCAAGATTCACAACAAAATGATGGTGACAGCTATGGGTGAGACGATTCATGGTTCCCATGACATTATTTTTTAATTTCCAGTTTGGTCAAGCAAGAAATCTGCATCTCCACTGAAGAGTGCCTCATCAGGCAGGTCACAAGTCCGATAAGTGATTGTAAGTTGAGATTGAAGTCCCCGTTCCTACAAGCTTATCTTAGCCGGCTAGGCCACATTTGGTTCAGATTTTTGTTTTTGTTCTGCTATTTCCATCCCCATTCCTACAGGCTTATCAGTCAGCTAGGCCATATTTGGTTCAGATTCTCATTCTGCCATTTCCTTCCTAAAAGTTCTATTTCTAGATGAAAAAGTTGTCAGAAATGGTAGGAACAAAACAGGGAATAGTATTTTGTTCATTTTCTCATGAAATGAAAGCTCTCTCAAAAAGACAAAAGAATGAGTCATCTGTTTCATTTGAGAAAAACATATGATACTAATAATATATAATCTTATATTATATAATGTGTTTTTAGTATAACATTTATATATTTTCTATAATATATTATACTACAATAAGATAATATTAGATATGGCAAATGCTATGGTGCAGTTTCTCCACTGTAGTCACACACTCTTAAGTGCCCTGCTATTGTTGTACAAGGAACTATATAATATTTTTTTATTTTCTAAGATTATATGAATAAAATAAGACATTAGACTAAATTATTTATTTTATGGGTTTATGTACTAGTTTTTTTATTATGTTCTTATTTGTTAGTGTTAAATCAACACTCATTGGTGTTTGCTGTCTTGAACCCTTGAAAACTTCAAAACGTGAACTAAGCAAATAAAAAAATTTTGAAATTTTGTCCAATCAACACATTCTTCTTCCTTACCCTAGAATTTAGGTGTTTATTTAAAAAAAATAAAAAGAAATCTGCTTGTCAATGCCTAGGCACCCCACTGTTGCCTAGCCTCACTTGGACAATCATTAATATCATCCAAGCTTTATCTAAAACTATAACAGGTCTGCTACATGAATCCTGTTTCACCATTCCATTCTGTTTAATGCCACATTCATTGTTAAATTGTGGGCACTTGAACATTTTATTACTATTTCAACCCAAGTCCTTTTAATATATAGCATAATTATATCACCTCGTTATTTTAAGGAACCTAGGAGTAGCTCCAATAAGCGATAAAACGAGCGAAGTAAACCAATATGTTTTGATCACTTCAAAACAAGACCATCTAATGTACCAAAAGAAATGCTCTGTTACAAGTTTAGGGGCTAAAAGAATTAGGATCAGATTAAAAAACAATGGGTTAAAGTAATAAGAAATGATTAGAAGGGTCCATAACTTAATAATGGATTTTTTTGAGAATAATGGATATGACACAGAACAGAGTGGAATGGTGAAATGGGATTCATTTAATCAATCCATATGGTTGGGGATATCGTTTTTGAAAAGCTTTGAGGTGAAGCATTGAGGCACAAGCCAGTCAAGCCTCAAGGTAAATCAGAAGCAAAAACACCTAGCCTCAAGCACCTTAATGCTGTAATAAGAGGGCTATTGCCTAGCCTCACTGCCTTGTACCTCAAATTGGTGAGGCATACACCCCATCAAAAATTAAAAAAGAAAAAAAAAGTTAAACCGTATTAGTTATAGTACTCCAAAATTTCAAAGCATGATTTTAAGCAGTGTGCATCAAATTGGTATTACAACAACTGTGGACTCCCCCACTAACAGAGATTGGCTTCCTCATGTTCTCTCTCTAAGGTTTCTTTTACAGATTGATGATGACCAATGTGTAACGTGTGGGACAGCAGGGGAATCTGCCAATTACCTGCTTGTCCGTTGCAAAGTGCCCAGTGCAATTCGGGAGGTGTTCAAAGGTTTCATTGGGGTGAGTGGTTGTCTTCAGCCACTCTGGAACCTCTGTTGCAGAGATAGAATAAGATTAATCCAAGAAAGGGAAAGTGGTCTGGAACAAATGAACAGAGACTCCTTTGTATCAAAATGGAGGAAATAGGTGTCAACTAGCAGTAGAAACCGAACACCATCCCATGGGAGACTTCCAATCAGGAAGTCTATGGAATAATTGGATAGCAAACACACCAATGTTCAGGCATCAATAACCAAGTACTTGATGAAAAACTTACGAGTTTTTGAAAACAAGCATTCTGAAATAGACTCTGTAAAAAGCAAGTTAAATGTTCTTTGCTAAGCATTAAAACTCCTTTTTCAGGGGGGTCAGCCTAGTAATTTTTTTAGGCTGGATCCTTGTTTTCTTAATTTTGTTCTTTTGCTTTCATTTTGTATATTCCCATTGTACAGCATCTCTGTGTACATGAGCTAGTTGTAATTTCTGCTTTAGTTAATCAAAGATATTACCTCATCTGTTTCAAGAGAGAGAGAGAGAGAGAGAGAACGAGATGAGCAGCGTAATAATTTGTTTGAATTTTGAAGTGTTCATGCAAATTAAGAAAATTTTCAACATGTTGAAGCAGTGAATCCTGAAAATGTGATTCTTAATTTTAGTGCCGCAGATTTCTTCATACCTACACTTCTTACTTACATCAAGCTTATTGTTCATGAACTGGATAAATTAATAATTCCTCCTTCAAAAGTCAAGGATGAGTTTTTTTTTGAACTAGGGAAGAAAGATGCGAATATGGAAGCAAAGAAAGAAATGGAAGACAAGAGGTATGATGGTAACTTGCAGAATGCATTGTCAACAAGAAAATAAGCAAATTATTTAACCAGTCGAACCTTGTTTAATTTGGCTGAAATTTGATGGCATTAAAAATTAAAATACAGTTTTAGTACTAAAATACTGCAGACTTTCAGCTTAGTTTGACACGAGGAATTGCCTCGATTTAAGACTTCAAGATGACTGATATTTGGATTCTGAAAGTTGTAGTCAAAGTCCTACTCAACAGGTTGACCAGTAGACCACATTAGCATTTATAGTATTTTCTATCATAGCTATTTACAGCAATTGTCTACATTACTACTTATAATAAAAAAACCTTGCTACTTTTAGTAATTTCTGGTTTCTTATATTTAGTAGAACTAGAGAGTTTGTGTCCTAGTTTGCAAGGGTAGTTTCTACATTCTGCTTGGAGTTTAAATACACGGACTAAGAGTCCAAATATGAGTTGTAAGTTGCTACTTTGGTCTATGAAAGAGTGTCAAGAAGCCTTGTAGAGAACAAACCATTCTATTATACCTTTTTGTCCATTATTAAGGATCAAGTAAAGAATTCCTTTTCCTATTTTTACATAGCTAGCAGCTATAGAGTTATTATTGCTTCTTCTTTTTTTATCTTCTTTATTAGCTTTTAATGCTTGTGGCAGAAGCCTATATTGTTGCATGGTAGAAATGTCTTGCTTCATGAATCTCATCAGATTGTATGTTCAGAACTTGTTGCCTGTCAAGATATTTCCTTTATACCTTACAGAAATAACACCTGCACCTTTGATCACATATTCTGATGGACAACGAATATAAATAAAGATTCTATATAATTTAACATACTAATAATGCTCCAGAAAAAATTTATCAAAAAAAATAATACTCCAGAAAAACCAAATGCAACATTTCAACCAAAATTTTGAAAAAAAAAAAAAGCAAGGGAGGCGGAGTTCACCTGGTACTGTAGATAATCACAGAAGTTGAACTCAAAGAGGGCGGAAAGGAGAGGCCAATAACCTCTCCTGGAAATTCCTGAAATCTTCTTGGTAAAACAAACGTGTGGCGCCTTGACCATTCCCCTAGCTGTTTGGCCTCTACATCAAATGCATAAACTTGATTTGAAGAGGTGGTTAGAATTAGCACGTTACTATTCCTGGGAGGAAATCCACCAGCTGTGACAGAAGCCCCATCCAATCTGGATATGAACCAGTGCTGCCTGCTTAACAGAACTTGGGCATATTAGGTCATGACAAAGCTGAAGAGAAAAAGAATTATTAAACTAAATATATCATGATTCTGATACACAAAAGCTAAAGTTACAGGTCAAACATTAAATGTCAACTCATATGAAGAAGTAACCATGAATTTTACAACATATACATGAATTCCTAATTTCGCAATTTGTTACAAGTTGAAGGGGAATGAAGGGCTAGGGGCAGACCAAAAAGGATATGGTTAGAAAGAAATGAGTTAAGTGCTCATAATTTAACAATGGATGTGGCATTAAATAGAAATTACAGAACAGAATGATGAAAAAGGATTCATGAAGCCAACCCCATATTGTTGGGATAAGGCTTAGATGATGATAAACACATTTCTAATCATGGATGGCAGAATATAGATTAAGGTGGTTCTTTCCGACTTAGACACTGCATGGCCAAACTGCCATCAATGACAAGTCCTCCAGGCTCCAATGACATTTGAGTTTTAGACAGATTTGATTCAACGTTCCCATTATATTTTTATTTGATGCTTTAAATTCATCATGTTTATCACAATAAAATAGTGATAATAACTATTAACCTACTCCACGTTGTCAACGGTACAATTATATTCCTAGTCAATGATCCTTCTACAGATGAGGGTGCTATATACTCGTATTCAAGTTTTTATTGGTAACTGTCTATAATTTATTGATAATTAATAAAAGAATTTGAATGTATAAAGATTTCTTCCAGGCACCCCCATATCGTTGGTAACCTATTACTTCACCCCTTGTTACATATATGCTGTCATGTAAAACCCTAGGAATCAGTCCCTAGTAGTCACCCCCAAAAACTGTTCATTCCTGCCTACCCCAAGTTAATACAACTTGAAGTCTTACCCCATTGCTAGCTGTCTTCTCTCATCACATGTCTGTACTACCATGATCCTGGGTTATTTTGTGTGATCCAGTGCACAACTTCATAAATAAATGTCATTTTTATATCAGACTTTCAAGAAAAAGCACAGCTTCTCAAAGTACATGCATATATGCAACCATAAATTAGAAATTTAGGTAACCAAGCTCAAATTCCATTACTTGTACCTCTAGGTACAACAGAAAATGGATACTGTCTCCCATGGTAAATAGATACATGTACCTCAAAAAAAATCTGTTATTGGAAAACCATACATAATTCTTTTTTTTCTTGATAAATAACCATGCATAATTCTTGGATGACAATCGCATTTACCCAACATCCAAACTATGGCTGCCTTCTGCAAATTGGGTTGCAATTTGAAGAATTTCAATTACACCAGGCGCATGTCAGGGTTTTAAAAACACAAGGGCATTTTACGCCAAAGCTGTGCACCTTATCAAAGCAAGGAGCAAAATGCTAAAAAATCAATAAGATTCCAAAAAATCAAAATGCACAAAATTAAAAATACTAAACATAATACTAATTAAAAATATAAACTTAAATTTTAAAATAAGTATTTTAGAAAACCTATTATTTCAAATTAAAATACATAAACGTAACATGTAAAACATATTTAAAATGAAAGCTTAAAAATAAAATCAACCAGAACATACAAAACATGTTCAAGCATGTAAAACTCTCACTATTTTTTTTCCCAATTTCATTACTTCAAATAGCTAACGTGATGCTAAACATTATGCATTCCCAATTTCGTTACTTTTTTTTAGAAAAGGTGAAGTATAATCATATTAATCAACGGTCCTTTGTACAAAGAGACTGTACAACACAAAAGCAAAAGGACCTCAAAAAAAGGCCACCTTCAAATTTTCATTACTTCAAAAGACTTTATAATTTTTTTATCAATAAAAAGACTTTATAATTTTAATTGTCTTTTAAAAATATATTTTATTAGGATGAATAAATGAACATTAGCAAATAGGGTTTTTACAGATCTTCAGTTAGAGCTAATATGGAATTGCTTGGGCTTGCCTCGAGGGGCAAGTGCCTGGGCTGAAGCGCAAGGTGACCTATGCAAGGCACATACCCTAAAATGAGCCTTGCCTATATGCCTAGGCACACCTTTAAATCACTAGCTCACGTTAGGTTTCAGGCTCATTGAAAAATTAATTAATTTCCGACCAAACCTGGTCTAAATTGCACCATAATCCTTACTTCATGGGAAGATAACTTGTGATGAGTAACCAGCATACATTTATGAGGCTTCATGCAGTAAGAGAAGTGAAGATATTCTGTTCCCAGTGATGCCAAAAATGAGGTTACAAGGAAGAACCTTGTCTTTGTTTGATTACTATCAACATATAAACAACGGAACAAAGGAGAAATTCATTAAAATCATAACTTTCTCTTTGACGTCCTTTTATACATTTGTTTAGGATCATCAAAAGCAAAACCTAGACATGAGAATATGGTTAAAATACTTGAAAAGCAAAATATATCACCTTTGTGTCTCTAGATTGAAGATGTATATATCTCCAAAGCAGTTAATGGCAGCGAGCCATTGCCCATCTGAACTGGTAAACATTCTTGTTATGGGAGGCTCACTAGGTGGCAAATCCTCACCATCTTCCTTGCGGCAAGGTGTAAACGTGTGCAAAAGTTCAGTGGTTACCACATCCACAACCTGTGTCACCAGTAAAATATGAAGCCAACAAACTACTTATCCACAATAAAGTCACACAAATAGCACTGTCACATAAGTCTTGAATAGAGACAAATATATGATTTGGGCGATCTATGACTTCCTATTATGAATTGAACAGTAGTAACCATAAACAAGGGTCATCAAGTCTTATAGGTATATGTATGAGTACGTATATACATACATATAAATATAAATAAATATGGCAGTGGGGCATATCATTCTGTTAAATTTCCTTGTGCAAGTATCAGTTCAGTGTAATTATCCGACCTATAGCATTCTTTTGAACTATTGCTATAGAGAAATTCTATCAGTTAGATGGTTGCCATATACTAATTAGACCAACCTTTGACCAAAAAGCCTCACAGGCAAAACCTACCAAGGGAAAGGTTCCTAACCACAGAACTACTGCTAGTTCCCAAGTAATGGAAATTACAATATCAAACCGTAACCATATATATACCCCCAAAAATATGTGTTCTATACTTCTATGACAATTAGGTATCACTTAAAATAAATTAGATTCAAGCATGACCAAAGAAATGCAAAACAAAAGAGAAGGAAAGCAGGAAGTAACAACCAAGACAGATGGACTCTTACATATATCTTTCTATCATGGCCTGCTATCATCAAACGAGAAGAATCAGAACTGAAAAGCATGCAATGAGCAAATGGGAGTTGTCGAGGTAGTTGCCTTTTATTGACTGCCCATGCACTCTTTCCACTTTCACACCTTTTCAGTTCAAATAGACTAGGTTTTGCATGGTCAGAATAAGCAAATAACACCCCCGTATTTGAGATGGTGCTGCAAATAATCTTCCGAGATGCCTTACTTTTAACTCGAGCCAGCAAGTCAGTGGTTGCAAGCCCTCGAGAACCCTTGCTAGGATTTGCACCACTCTTTACATGAACATACAAAATATCCAACCAGCTTGAGCACTGGATTAGAATCAAAGGAGATCCACTGAGTAGAGTATTAAGCACTAACTGAATCGACACTCTCTGAGGTGCAGGGCAGATATCATGTGGAGAGAACTTGGTGAACTCCTTGGCAGAGTAAGCAAAGAGCTTTGTGTCATCACCAGCTGAGATAAGCATGGGTACTCCCAGATGGGCCCATTTTCGGTAACTGAAATCAGTGGGCTTATCTCGACCACGAATCCTTCTTACCTTTTCACCGGGCAGTGGATCTACGAAGATGAGAAAGCAATTAGAAAAACTTCAAAAGACTACTTAAAAAAGGACTCTTACAACAATCAGTTCATTCCAAAACACTCAAAACAATTGCTGGCGGACAAACCTTCTTTGCTAATAGGTACCGCCACAGTCAAGGCCCTCACATCATGGGTATGAGCTCTTAGATAACTAACATAGACCCATTTCTTTCTTACTTCAGTAGAGGACTTCTCATTACCAGATCCAACTGAGTCAGCAGAGAGCTTATATAGAATTACCTATAACAGATAATGCCCAAATAGAAATTACTTTTACAGCACTAACCTGAGAAATGTAATAGTTAAGAAATATTCATATTGCAAGTAAATATCAGCAAAACATTTGAAGCATTGATCTGTTCATTCATAGAATATGATCATGGTATACAGCATACAAGCCCCACTTATTTCAGATTTGAGCATCCTAGAAAGTGCGCCAGCTTTTTCACCAGATAGTGAACAACTGGATAACTTTAACCATAACTACAACAGAACCAAGGTTATTGTAAAGCAATAGGTAACTCAATACAAAGAACCATCAGCTCAGCCAGACAAACCAGTAGAAGCAACCAGATTTATTTTCATCTAATTACACAAAAAAAAAACTGATACTGTATTCAACCTTTCAATACTCTTTCACTTGGTCAACTCATTAAATCTACAATGATCCTATTATAAGCCAATGTCAAAAATTGAATTTTTGTAGAAGGTTTCTGATCTATATAGCAAATTATAACTTTCTAGTGATGGATAATATACTGAGAAACATGGGTCAATTCCAATTTGAAGAAACATGAACAAAAGAGACCATATATGGAAGAGGAAAAGTTTCTTTTTCTTCATATACAATATCCCTACCCAACCTTTCATAATCTAGTGTGAAAATGTCTTGGATGCCTATGTTAGTTTTGCTTGACAAAACAAACTAGCTTGACAAACCCAAACAAACCTACTAGTTAGTTATTTTGCCATAATGTGCAATGTTTCACTTAAAGATGCAAAAACCCTCAAAAAAGACAAAAACAACAGAAAAATGCACTTATGTTTCCAAAAATTGCAAAACAAAAGCATAGAAATTTGACTCAATGTACAAAATGATTTTTCTAGTGATGGACAATATCTAACCTGAAGCATATAATAACAGCATAAAGTCATACTTACACTAATCAATATTTTTAATAAATAAAAAATATATATTTCATTAAATTGATTAATACTTGCACTGATCAATATTCACATGACCCACAATAGCAATTGCAGACACTTTGAAACTAATATTGTATACTGTTTGCAAGCAGCACAAGATGCAGAAAAAATAGAAGTGTTAATGTTGTTTTGGTTTTCGCAATACTTTGTGTACATCAAATATTTAAATAAAAAGACTTATTTTTTGATAAGTAAATAAAAAGACTTATTTTATAAGATATTATTTGTATTTTGATGTTAAGAGGTGTGAAACCATTCTGCTTGGATCAAGATGGTCCAAACAAAAGACAGAACAATTAACCATATATCTAAAAATAAAAGAACTTTTTTGGATGGAAGAAATGGACTTGGAATAGAATTGCATTCCTGCCTCATTTCTGTGAAATCCAAGTGAACACTCCCACTAGTAATGTCAAATTCTGCTAAAGCATGCAAATTGAGAGCTACAAAACCACATTCTTCCGATTTCCACTCTGGTGCAGAAACAGACACAAGGGATGGAATTTGGAGACTTGAGGAATTGACCCCTCATTTCCACCACCAATTTTAGTTCTACCTTGATCCGAACACAACCTGACAATTGTCAAGGATAATTAAAAATGTATAGCATCTTTTAAAGTTCAATTGATATATATAGTTGCCGTGAAAAACTTTAATAACACATTCACAGGTATGAAATTCTAAGAAGTTCTTCAGTAGATACGCTAGAAATAAACATGATCTCATGGTTCCAATGCAATATATTTTTCCTATATGTTTCAAATAATAATTTGAAAGCTTTACAATTTTCAAGAATTTGCATTAAAAATACAAATGAAAATATACACCAATCCAACATATTAGGAAGTAGGAACATAGAACACATCAGCAGACAAATATCATCATGTATGAGTCAAAAGTTACCTAACTCATTACCTGAGAAAATAATAAGAAAAGAAAAATGGATGAGAAAAAAAACAAACAGTTGCCAATTTCCTTAGATTAAATAAAATAATATGTTCATGACCCAAGTTACTCTGCAACTGCACCTTTGGTTAATGAACCACAGAAATCCAGATCATAACAAAATGGTCTAAACAGAATGGCAGCCCTTTCAGTCATCCAGATAGAGATGATAACTTTTCTGGTTGCTAGCTCAGAATTATATATAATGCAAAATAGATACCAACACTTGATGCAATTTATATCAATTCTCATGCTACTAGATATATCTTAACATGGCTAGTTCATGGCATCAAAAGCACAATGTACAGATCAACTCCCAAGGCTGAGAACACATCCCAGACAATAAAATACCAAATTACCCTCAGCCCCCTCCTCAAGATTTCTCCTATTGATTATCTCAAAAAATTAAAAAAAAAGGATCTAACATATGAGCATGTCATCATAAAACCGTATAATAAACCCCCGCACCTAGCCAATCTTGTGCAGAAATACTTTTTTTGGATCTATCATGCGTGCATGCATGAATAAATACAATATACATAACACTAGTTTCACAAAGTAATAAATATCAAGCTACCACCCAAGTTCTACATTCTAAGGGCATCCATCAGTGAGTCGGTGATTTCCCTCTTTGTTATTTCTTATGCCCTGTATTACCCATGTAATATCCAAAGTTCCAAACTCCAATTCAGACTCTTAGTCAACAATATGATAATACTAATTGAATTCCAGCCTTTGGCCTTATTAGTTCAAACAACCAAAAATAGTCATAATATGTCTCACAGGGGGTTGATAGCATGATCAGAAACAGCCTTTTTTGGTAATTATGATCAAAAGCAGCTTAATTACATCATTTGTACAACAAGAATAACAAACACAGAACTAAGCTTCTTCTGGATACAAATACATCCACAAATTTTTCTTATGTATAAACTGCCTATAACAAAAAGGGAATGAGTTGTATTGCTAAAACCTATAAGTAACCTTAGTTATAAATACCTGGCCATCAGAACCAGCAGAGAACACCCTGTTATGCCTAGGAACTGTTGCCAAAGCATTGACATCCCCCTTATGGAAAGAGTGAGCCTGCAATAGAGTTCCATGTTGACTGTCCCAAAACTGGACACTACCAGTACTGTCAGCACTAACTAGGGTCCCACACCTGAAACCATCAGTTCAATAGTCAGCAACAGTTTACCTTATTTTATTCAGGTTCCTGCCTAAAAACAAAATAAGAGAAAGGAAATATTCCATTAAGTCACTTATGACAGGAATAACATTCATCCTTTCTACCTTAAGGCAAGTAATGACCATACACAAAGCTCATGTCCACCACCCAAGCCTCCAAGTCCAACTGTTATCCTATAAACCTCATGAGCTAATGTGGCATCCCAGCACCTAATAAACCTGTCAATGACAATATGGGCAAGCAATTTGTCAAAATATCCTTGAAAATGAGAAATAACAACTCAATGCATATATACCATATTGAAAGCTGAGAAAGGTATATCCAACATTACAACTTCACCAAACCCATCATCTAATAATATCAATATGTGGAAACTGGCCCAAGGCAATAAGCAGTTAGATTATAACTTGCTTAAACAGTAAGCATCAGCAAATCTAACATACCCATCACTACTCCCTGAGAATATTAGTTTTGCATCAATGCTCCAAGCAACACTTAAAACACGCCCTGTCAACAAAAAGTCAGGAGAAGGCCTCGAAGTAAGTAGTCTCAAATACAATAAACATCAACCAACAACAATCAATGTGAGTGTAGAGCAAGAGGTCAAGATATCTCACCACTAACCCTAGGCATTGTTCTACTATAAGTTAATTCATCTGAATCAGAAACAATGTATATCCGTACACAACCATCATCACATCCAATGGCTATGCGTGGATCTTTAGCAGATGGTTGCAAATGAAGCTCAACGGAGTCAGAATCTTCATCACTTTCACTGGTTTCATCATTGTCAACAGTTCCATCTTCATCATTTGCATATCCATTAATTGCATGTTGAGAATCATATTGTCTAGAATGTGAATCATCAGGTTCAACAGCTATCTGCCAGATCGATACTCCAATAGAATCTAGCACTGTCTGCATAAACAGGGTGGTAAGAAATATTCCAACTTTTCATTGGATAGTCAACCAGAAGGACAACTAGAAGCACAGAACTTTTAAATTGTGAAGCATCCAGAACAAACCATACATGCACCACCCAAATAAAAAGCAGGTTATTATAGGAGGGGAGATAAGGTGAGTGGGGGGTGAGGGGTTGAGGAAGATAAGTCCAGAGGGTTTCGATTATATGTGGACATTAACCTCAATAGAATCCATTGCATACACAAAACAATAGAACGATGGTAGTGTTTGAGCCACTAGCTTCAACAAGAAAGATATAGACACAGGTACGAAATGGAGTTACCCATAAAACCTACCATGATTCACCAACAATGGACATAGCTTTTTGTACCAGCATTGCTTTATAACCATATATAGCTTGTGTAGTTTTTGTAATATTTTCAAGAGGGGTATGCCCCCAACCATGTAATGCTAAGTGTTATGTAACTTGGAATGTTCGAGAAACTATTTTTAGCCATCACTGCAACTTTTTATGGGCAATTGTGTAACTTGAAATGTTTGAGAAACTAAAGAAAACGAAAGCAAAATAACCAGAGCAAAAAATTGCAAATAGTGTAAGAACAAATAAACAGTATACCCTCTGCTTCAAGTCGAAAAGATCCCACTCCGAAATTGATCCATCAATACTTGATGACAGCAACCGACCAGAAGGCAAACGTTTTGAATTCGAACGGCACCAAACTAGGGAAGATATTCTGGAGTTAGGGTCTCCATGGATTGTCTAGGCATTAAAAGGAAGCAACTCAGAATCACCAAGCAAATAAGTCAAATGAGTACTGAAGAGGAAACGAATATGAAAATAAATACCAGCTGACAGTGCCAACCAACAGAACCGGGGGAGACGAGCCAAATCTCAAGAGAGCCATCTTCGCGAGCTGCAGCGACCTGGGAGTCGTCGACACTTGTGGCGAGAGCTACGACGGGAGATGGTTTCCACTCGATGGAACTGCTGCTCCTGTAAACCTCCAGCATTTCCGCAAAGCAAGAGCGAGCCCTAGAAATATCCTCTTCGCAACCTACTAAAACTCATCACCATCACCTCCGACACGATTCGAGCACCAGTCCAGCCCTTATCGCGTTTCGTTTCTGTCTATGTGTCCATCTGTGTCGCGACCGTTTCGATTGAGTTGGAGGCCGGCAGAAGAGAAGGCTACCGCGAAAGGTGAGGGCTTTAGGGGTTTAAACGCGGCGATTGCAGGGTTTTGTGCTTTAGGGCGAGTGTTCCTTCTCCTTTCTTCTAATTTTATTTCTTTTTTTTTTTTAGGGTGGGGCCGCAGGGGGAGTGTATGGAAGGGAAACTGCATGAAATCGTATTTAGGATCTAGGGCTTATAACTTACCGCGTGTCATAAATTGGATTCTCGAACCCATGGAATAGCTCTGCCCAATGGGAGAGATGGGGAACCTACGGCCATACCATGCTCCCAAAGATTAACATGCATGCTGTTTGGTTGGTTGGTTCTATTGCCCTAAACCGCGCCAGTTCATCCCTTTGGTGCTTATTCAAAAATACTATTTGATAAAATATTTATCAAATAAACATTTGTCTTGATTTATTTATGTAAAGCCAACTGTTGGGGAAGAGATCAAATTCAGTCCTCATACGACCGTATTACACTATCCTAATAGTCTTTTACAATATTTTCGTGCTTGTATGCTTTTTTCACGTAGAGATTCTTGGTGCAAAGTTGCAAATAGACCTGTTCATGGGTTGGATAATTCGATAGGCCAGTTCAGCGCCTATATTTTTGGGTTTGGACAAGATTTTAGGGTTATGGGTTTGGGCTTTCTCAAATAAACCCGGCCCAAGCCTGAATCGGCCCGGTACTATTACATATAATAGAAATATAAATTATTTACATATAATAAATATATAATATGTATTTATTTATTACATTATTATCAAATATTAATTTACTACTCCGAAAAAATATGAATTAATGTATTAATTTTTTTAAAATTATTACCAAATTAATATAATACCAATTTATTAAGTTACATCAAACATAGGACATTTTATGAGCATAATAGGTTTCAGGCTTGGGCCTAAACATTTTTTATTGATAAAGAGGCAAAGTCTAGCCAAACCTGGCCAATGAATAGATCTAGTTGCAAGGGACTATGAGGCATGATCATGTGATGACTTAATCTTATTTCATTGGGGAAGCTTATTTTAATGTTTCACCTAACACCTATGCATTTATTTAATGTGTTTAGCTTATATGGTGTCCAATTGCATAGTTGTTAAACAACAAGGAAAAAAATGTTTATCAAATACTTTTATTGCCTTTTATGGTAAATCACGTACAAATATGCTTTTTCAATAAATGACCATAGTATCAAACATTACCTTGGTTAAAAATTTATGAGATAAACGTAGGGCTGTTCATAAGAACACCCAACCCGACCAAACCAATCAACCCGAGTTGGTCGGGTTTTCATTAGCACTGGTCGATTTCGGGTTGGGCAAATTTATAAATTGATATATCAGATCGGTTTTGATTTTCACACAAGAAAATCGAAACCGACCCGAACGAAACCAAACTAGTCTTCCTACTTATTATAATTAATTGATTTTATTCTTTACCTTAATTAAATTCAGATTTATCTTGGATTCTTAAACAACAACTAATTCAGATTTACATGAAGATTTATCTTGGACTCTAAATTGAATTCAGGTGGCTGAAATGATGGTCAAATAAATTTCCTTATAGTTATAGGCTTCTTTGTCCTTTTTGTACATGAGCAAAACCAAAATCGATCCAACCCGACTCAAACCGACCAGGTCGGTTTCCACCTCAGGTAACCCGACCAGGTCGGGTCAGTTGGGAAAACCCCAATAAACCAACCCAACCCGACTCGTGAACACTCCTAGATAAACGTTTGCCTCGGTTTGTATGAGAGTCAACCGTTAGGGAGAGCTTCATTTTAATGTTTCTCCCAACACACAAACATTTATTTAGGGGTCCTTTAGCAAGTCTTTTATTTAAATATATTTTGGAAGATTTGACAATCAAAAGACAATGTAAACTTTTGCATCAAGATTTGAATAGCTTGAAAACTGTTTGGTTAAGCCGGAGTCTTTTTGGGTTGCGGTTTTCGACGAAAAGACCAAAACGCGGGCTGTCAGATTTCTACAAAGCCGATACCCCGTGCTAAAAGACACACCAAACAAGGCCTTAACGTTTAGCTTATGTTGCACCTAATGGCATCTAATGGCGCATATATGTCAAACAACAACAACAAACATTTATCAATTACTTTTTTCATTTTTTAAGAAAAATCATATACAAAATATATCTTCAATGAATAGCCACACTACCAAACATCACCACGATCAATTGAAAACCATCTCATTCTTTCATTATTTTTAGACTTTTGTCTAATAGTTTATTGACCTAAGCGATCAAATAATTTGAACAAAATTTTGACCATGCTTTTGATTTTATATAAAGCCCGCTATAGTTTTTTAGGGTCTGTTTGGTTTGTGGACAATATCGGAATCAGGATCCTCGATAATCAAAATTGGAATCACTTATCCTTGATGCTTGTTTGCTTTAGTCAATAATCAGAAACAAATTCTGATTACTGTTGTTGTTTCCTTCATTTGGAGTTTGAATAAAAAATCAATTGAAATTTTACAATTTTGTGTTAGTTTAATTATTATTTTACTAATATTTTATGAATATATAATTATTGTTTCGTTAGTACTTTGTTATTATTAATTTATAGTATTTGATAATTAATATCTTAGTATTTATTGTTAATTTCTTAATATATTGTTATTTTATTATTGCTTTAATTATATTGTATTAATATTTTTATTTATACATTTGTTGTTATCATTACTTAACAATTGATTTCTTTGTTTATTATTAATGTATTATCAGTATTATTAATAATTTAATAATATTAGGATTTCGGGGGATTTTGTCATGAGTTTTACTTCTTTAAAGAGTGTAATGGGAATCCCATTCCATAGGGGGGAGCCTCGAATGGTCGTTCCCCTATATGGGAAAATCACATTCCAACCAAATAAACGATTGAAATCGGAATGGGCAATTTCAAGCACCTATTACACGGAACTAAACCAACCCTTTATTTTCTTATATATATATATAAAACTTTGAATTGGTATGGTCACCAATCCGTACAATTAAACCTTTGAACCATTAGACTTGGTTTGCAATTTGCATGATAGTTTAAAAATTAATTTAAAACAACAAAATATAAATTAAAAAGGAAACATCCCATCCGATAATGTTATGGACTTTCTTTTTTCTCTTAGGTCCTCTTCGTTTTGAAAGTTATTTATCTGGGTAAATGCAATTACCTGGGTAAGTTTTTATGGGAAACACTTACCCAGGTAAATTCATTTACCCATATTCTTTTATTTATCTGGTAAATAATGTAATGACCATTTTAGTCATAAAAATCCATTATTAAAATGGGCATTTTTGTCCCATTAAAGTGTTAGCGACGTGGGAAAGTTATTTACCCACCTAGGAAAATAAACTTTCCTTGGTTCCCACATTAATCTGAAAAATGGGCATGGGATTTTTTGTCAATGGGGACCAAAATCCCATTGACCAACTTTCCCCCTCTCTCAAAATCCCAAAAAAGAGTGCCCCTTCATTTTTTTCTATAGTTTAACTCTTTCTTTCTTGTACACTCTTTGCATGGCTGAAACTCTTCTACCCTATTCTCCAACTCTACTCTCTTTAGAGGCTCAACCCCTTGGTTGTAGCAACTTTAAATGTCAATGAAAAAACAAGAACTTGTGACTACTAGGGCGCCATCTTGACAACAAATAGTGAATTAATGCAACAATAACGACAACAATGAACAAAACCAACTACCAGTGGGAGTTCAGATATGCCCCCACAAAGGGGCACCCCACAACGTTCCACATCACACCCCCACCATGTATTGGGAATATCTCCCAATTATGACATCATCGATTTTGGTACTATCATCGGGAGATGTTCCCAATACACGGCGGGGATGTGATGTGGGACATTGTGGGGCACCGCCTTGTGGGGCAAAGATGTGAACTCCTACAGTGGCAAGTTGTTGCAATGACAACCTTATAAGTATTTTCTACTTTTTTTTTCTCATATTTAAGGGTGTTTAGGGTCTAGTTCAATGTGGTTTAGAGAAAATCTCAGACCAAACCAATAAATTATGGATTAATAAATTTCCAAACCAAACCAAACCATTTTGGCATGAAAACCAACCCAAACTGTTTTATTATGGTTTGGTGCACTTTCTGGTATGGTTTGGGGAACTTTGGGCCATTATTTTATTATAGAATAAAAGGTTTAGTATATATTTATAATTTTATACACTTGGTTTAGATATATTACATTATATCATTTATTTATGTAATTATATTATATATAATTTCGGCTTATGATTTGGTTCAGTGTATAAACTCCATGAAACCAAACCAAAGCCGCAAATCACAATTTAGGAAAATATGAAACCGAACCAAACAGTTTTTATACAATGGAACACCCATACTCATATTTCTCATCCACTTGTATATTTGCTCAGTGCTTTTAAACTTGAATATTAACATTTTTTTTTGAATGCTCTATCATTCATGCTATTTTTAATGTTGCCCCTACTTTTTCTTTCAAATAAATACAACTTTTATGACCATTTGTTGATTTGTCCTTCATGTGGTTGATTAGTTGAAACTTGAAACGAGAATAATTTTTGAAGAGTTTTTAATTGCAACTTTTAAGTTTGACATCTAATCCGTTACAATTTATTTTATTTTTTCAAAATTTTGCTTATTTTTTGCATTTATTTCATATTTTATCTAATTTTTTAACATATTTTTAATATTTTACATTTTCGTTAATTAATTTAAGATAGTTTCAGGTCAAACCATTTGACCCATACAATTGAACCACTGACCTGAAAAAATAAAGGCAAAATAAGTTATGTTTTTGAGTCAAATTTTTAAACATTGGTTTCAAGTTGTTATTTAATTAATAGTCTTAATTTTGTGGTCCATTGTATGGTGGGTCCTCGTCGTCTGAATGTAAGGATCTTGGAAGTTTTATGTCCGTACTTTACCCTGTCCATGTTAAGAACATAGGGTAAACAAGGCCAACTGTTAAACCAAAAACTAGACGATCAAATTATTCCAAGTATGAGTTTTATGCCAAAAATCAAGAAAAAATAGTTGTTATATTGTAAGAGCATGGACATGCT